TAGCATCTATCACTGTAACGTCTGAACCATTATCAAACAGTTCATGAGTCTCTAGTGGAGATTTCTGTCGTTTCACCTTAACTGGTAATGACCCTAAGAAAGCTTGTGGGTTATCAAGGGCTCCAAAGGTACTATTACGATTAACCGAATTCCCCAGTTCGTTTGCAGTCCTCAGAAATGGGTGCATATCGGTAGAACCACTACTTCCTTTGTCTGTCACCTTAAATTTCGAACATGTGTGCCCCATCTTTAAACAATGAAACACAACCGCTTCTGTTTTGCCATTTTCGAAATTTCTACGGCAGACGCAGCAATGAAGAGATTGCAATCACTCAATTGATGCGTGTTATGGTGGTACGTTATCGCGGTACGTTCGACGTTTGCGTTACATAAGATTTATCTTGTTGTAATACTTGCACAAGTACTATACTACCTCCATACTTGTAACCACTAACTCTCATTTCTAATAGTTATGGTTAATCAAAGTAAAAAGCAACGAACCCAATCATCTGTAAAACTGGTGACTAATTTAACGTCCTTGATTGATACATCAATCAATACACCCCCTACAAACGGCTATAGTGAGTCACATAACCCACTTGTATGCCGTAAGCGTCGAGCTGGAACTGAGGATAAAACTGTATTAACACTACTCCTAAAAATTCAGTACCGTCTGCTCATACAAAACCCCTCTCTTCACCTTATGTGCCCATCGAAAAACTCTAGCCGCCAAGCTCTTTATCAGTACTATCTTCAGAAATAGAACTTCTAAAGTTGTCTATAGGAGAACTTAAGGCTGAGTTAAGGCAAATAAAAAACAGTAAGTCAGTAAATGCTGGAAACATCGAAACCAATACCGAGATACCCAAATTATCAGATCAGATCAGCAATATCAGATCGCAGGTCTGTGAACTGACACCTCTAAATATCCTCATGAAAACTATAAACCTTAACAAGCTTGACACAGAATCGGTAACTAAGGTAGATAACCTCATTAACTTTGTTACCACAGAGGTAACAAAACGACTCGACGCAAAACTGAGTGTTATTGTCTACAACGTTCCGGACAATGAGGCACTAAAAAAGGTACAGCGCATCTTACTTAGTGAAGCGAAAATGCCTAACTCCAAGACTAAGTGCTATAGGCTGAAGAAGAGTCAAAATGAAAAGTGTTGTCCTATTCGTTTTCAGTTCTAAACACCGGCAGAGACCAGAAAATTCATCCACTCCCAACACACCCTATCGCAAGCCAGAAACTACAAACTTATAAAGGTCGGGGTGGACAAAACAGTCATAGAAAGACGCGCATACAATTATCTCGCTAAGACTAATAGTGAAGTAGGTAATAGGACATTGCAAGCAGCCATTATTCCCAACCCTGTGTAAGATACAGTAGACTCCACCGCATCACCCCTCTCAAAACACACAGAATTATCCTCTCAGAGTGCAACACCAGCTGAAAGGCTACTAGTCCAGTCTTCAGTATAGCCACATACGTATATCTCGACTCTAATACTCATGCAGCGAACGTTAACTAATTTACTGATTTCTATTCTCTATAATTTTCAATAAGTTGTGTCGGTAAAAGTAACACTGGAAGTAATTGTATTAGCATCCACATCTTTAACGTTTTACATATGTATACACTAATATAATAATACTTATTAATCATGCATGTTCAATTCTTAAGATTAGGTTGTTATTAAAATACTTAGAATGATTTAAATATTTATGCATCAAATGTTCTCTTGCTTTACCACGCTTGTTTCATTTATAACACCCGATTATTGAGCCTGGTGTATTATTTGATATATGAATTATAATACTGATTATACTCTTATCATATATGGTTTGATTTACTTTACGGCTCCCTATGGACTAACTACCATTCTTCAGTATACACACACTGCAGTATTGTTAACCAAATGCCAAAATTCTGTTGGTTCTATGTTAATATCTTTTTATAATACTACCTACATTGAACCAACTATAGTGCTCTGCTGAATCCTGCTCCACCATTCACAAAACCTATTCGTTTTACTCTAAGTTTTTGACTTCTTATAAAGTAATCTGTTCATTAGGATGCATGCACACATACATAATATGTTCATAAAGATGTACGTGGAGACCTATTGGAGGCACTCATTAAGAAAGCTAGGGAGATGGAATATGGGGTACGAACATGTCTGGTACCAAGCAATATATTTGCGGTAGCCATAATAATCATAGTCTCACAGCCTAATAGTAGATATGGTGGTGGTCACTGAGGTGAATCGCCTCATTCTGCAGGAAAAGCAATATGCAATTTGAAGGCTCGAGATTTCCATGATTTTCATGAGGGCTTAGATCTTTATCTTGAAAAAGATAATAATGAACGCCTTGACAGATCATGCTTCTGCTTTTAAATATATACCATTCGCTCAGCCTATTGTTGAGATGCGACCACGCGGGATATGCACAGATTTATGGGGCATCTTATAAATTAACTTACTATCCATTGTCAGATCTTTAAATACCACTTCAAAATGTCTTATCTCACTTATTTTCCAATAACGTCTTTACTCGATCCTCATTACATTCAATTAAACCTAACATTTTATAGCTGTTTATGAATTTGATTCGACTTGTTCTATTCCCATTCTCTGTAGGGTACGGTTGTGCACCAAATAAACAAAAAGGCATGAAATAAAAACAACTGGCTTGAAAATAATTGTATTAGAGCCAAAAGTGGACATCATGATAGTACGAAGTATATGGGTATTATTACACATTGCAAATGAACGTTTTCGGCCTAGGGATTAATTACTTCCACATTCTGTTTTCTATATAAATGTATTTATCAATGATATATTTCACTCACTTAATCTATTACACTTTAGTGTTTCACCTTAGCACTTTAACTTTTCTAAAACAGCTTTCAATCCCTTGTAAACGTTGTACTTACCTCAATGTTGGTTGGTTATCGTATGCCTACAACCACTGGATGAAAACGAAATGAAGTCGGTTTTCCCACTCAACCTGGAGGACAACTGTACAGTTCAATAACTATACGGCCTGGTTCAGACAATCAGTGTAATTATATATATGTATCAAATATTTAACTGTTGAAACATTGTTAACTCGTAGACAATTTAAGATTTGACATTATACAATACTTGATCGTGCCTGTAAAAATGGCATGCATTTTCATGTAAATTTATGTTTATATGAAAATATAAAATTATTATTATACTGTAACCAAATATATAATAAAACCATACCACCTATCGCCGCAGAATCTAAAAACATACTAAATAACCCCAGAAAAAAAGTCAAAACCCCCCGAAATTCGACATTGTCCTCTCCTAGCCATAACTCGATTGCTAAAGGTGAGGAAAATATGCCCCTAAATCATGCCAACAAAAACAGTGGCAGCTTAAATAAGCCCACACTCCCCAGGATCAATGGTGTTAGCACTCACAACGTGCTAAATCGCACCATGGCACAAACTAATATCCAATGTCACAACAATGTCACCCTCAATAGTACAAGTGGTAATAGTCAGAACTCGGCTACCAACAACTCAGGGTCTTCAGAGTATGGCACACAAACCAATTTTGACCGGATATATGGTACAAGTCTGCTGGGAACTAACCCACAATGCAGTATACACGAAATCTCCACAAGGACACGACTAGCATCGAACAATAAGTGGAATAACAAGCCATGGTCATCAAAAGGATCCAATCATTTTTTATCCCCTGCGTCCCTGTCAGCGTTGAAAAAACAGCTGGTAGGGATGTTAATACTCCTAAACCACTAGTGCTGGCTCCTTCCTTGCATGAAAACAGGAACGGTCTAGTGCACCCGTATCCATTAGGCACACTTGACACTTGCACAAGTATAGGTCAAATAAAGAACCCTACCCACTTCTCTAGCCTAACTAAAAATAAAAATTCCTTAGTCTATAGCAAATCCAGCACTCCAACTCCTAATTCTTCACCGAAAACAGCACACACCAACTCGGTAGACATAGGTGAGCATGATGCTGGAACTCCTCTTAACATAGGATCGTCATGTCCACCGTGCGGCTCGTGAAAGAATCCTGGTCACTAGGCTCTAGCTAAATGATTGATGGTATCCATGCACGATCTTGCTCTTTGAAACTGATACTTTTTGATTATTAATAGAAAAGAAATCATTGTTTTGGATATGAAGGTGAAGGTTCAACTGTATGTTCCAGCTTGCTCCCGCTGTCTGCAGACAAATAGACACTGCACTGTTTGGTCAAAAATGTGGTGGAAATTTGTCATAATTTATTTGGATCTATTGTGTGCTCACTTTATAACTAGGTGGGTGTGTATGGGGCTTCCAAGTGTTGTTTTCACTTTGGTGCTTAACCATGTAGAGTGGTGACGTTTGCAGGGTTTGGAGACTCCTTATTGTACATTATTTGAGGTAGTCAGCTCCATAGGAACATTTGAACTTACATATACACACATTCGATGATTGCGTGTAAGATATTCTATTTCGTCGACTTCTCCGAATTCGCAACAGAAAACAGTCCTGCTTCACATATATTCCAAACAGTCGCCTTGTAAATTATAATTATATTTCAATGGTTTACACACAATGATATGTTTTGTTATTTGATTCATTTTACTGACATTAAGTCATCTTGCAGTTCTGTGACTACCAACTTGCTTCATTGAGTAAAATCACACATCGTTTCTGTGGGTATTGCGATTAGTGATTCTGGTCTCATTGTTTCACTCATGTGCTTCCTGATAAGCGGGTCAGTCAGGAGAGAAATGTTTCTGTGGTACTTCTTATATAAACCTCTTGTAATTGGCCTACTTCTAATACTTTTAATTTTGTTTATTGGATTTTCAGTGCCCTGGAATTAAATACACATGGTTGTTGATAAGACTGATTCATATGAATGGACCTGTGAATCGGAAATTCAACTTTTCCGAGGATTAATGAAGCACAAACCCGTCGGCGTATTTCGCCACTTCCACATGATATGTTTGTGGAATTATGTGAATTCAGTTCTTCGTACACCAGTCACCCCGGATGCTATTTGGAAAAAGCTGAAAACACTATACAATATGGAAGAACTGGTCATTTCTATTTCTTGAAATATTGTAACGTTTCTGTGAAGCATGATTCTGAAGTCGATTCTTTTCAAGGTGAAATCCAAGAACTCAGTCTACCCGAAGAATTCGATTCCTTGAAAGGATTGAAGTTTCCCGAGTTAATCACGGAAGCGATACAGCTACACTCAAATCTTCAGTTCTAGGTAAGCTAGCAGCCCATTATCACAACTTACAATCCAGTTATAATTTTTGTATTTATGTGACAAAACGTCAACTATTCTTCAAGGGATATAAGTATAAACATATATATATAAATATATATATATAACGTAGGAAGATGTGAATTTTCAAGAATAAGAGTTATCATTCTCTTGGGTGAATTTCGTAAACTAGGAGACAGTTTTGATCGGATTTACGAATAAAACCTGCGAACTGTGGCAGAGCATGATTCCACTATGCATAAATTTTGCTTCAATGAAGTCCCACAGTGTTATACAGTAATGTTTACTAATGAGGGTTCCAGCACAATTTATTGCTCCTAATCATATCAAGGTAATCACACGACTTCCTAACTTCATTTACATAGTAATTTTCTTGATATAGTCAGATATATCCAGGACTACTGTGAAGCTTGCTCACAGTCACAGTAGTGTTGGAAAGTCACTGAATATATTGGGATGGGTCCATATGAGGAAACTAAGAAACCTGTAGATACAGTAATGAATAAGGTAAAAAAAAATCTACAGCGGAATTGATACGCAGAATGAAGCCGTCACTGGATGAGTCAAAATGGTTTAATTTTATGCCTAAATCCAATAATCCTAGTAGAATGTATGGTACTATTAAAATACATAAGCCAGGTTACCCCATAAGACCAATAGTAGATTTTAGAAATACCCCCACTTATGAATTATCAAAACTCTTAGCTCTAATATTTTACCCCATTAGAAATCGCTCAAACTCTAGACTAGCTAATTCATATGAGATGAAAAATAAACTAAACGACATTCAACTAGAGAATGATGGAAAAAGAATTGGTTAGTTTTGATATAACTAGTCTTTATACCAATATACCAGTCAATATGGCTTTGGAGGCAGTTAAAAAAGAACTAACTGCGGATCCTGAACTCACTCATAGGACGAAGCTGCCCATTGAAGAAATTATTTTAGGAATTCAGTTATGCCTCACATCTACTATCTTTAAATTCCAAGGCAAAATATATAGACAAACTGAAGGTGTAGTAATGGGATCACCAATATCCCCTATCGTAGCAGATATATTTATGGATAGCTGGGAAAATATGGCTCTTAATACGTTTAATTCTACTCCAAAAATATGGTGGAGATGTGTGGAGGACACTTTCACAGTGTTAAAACAGAACATATCTCTAGCTTCTTGACACACATAAACTCACTAGTTGAGAAGAATAAAATTCACATTTGAATCGGAAAATGAACAAGGAGAATTAGCTGTGATGTTAGATTGTAAAATAAAACGAATAGAAGAAGGTAAACTGCACACTAGTGTGTACAGAAAACCAACTCATTCTAGTAGATATTTAGACTTTAATTCATCTCATCCGTTAACTGTTAAGGCGGGCCTAGTTAAGTGCTTAACAAACCGAGCAGTAGCACAAGAAAAGACCTAAATGATGAATTAAAACAGATAGAAGAAGCGTTGGTGTTGAATAACTATCCTTTAAAATTCATTAGGAAGATCAATAAAGGCCAAAAACAAAATAAAAATGATTGTGAAGCTAGTAATAATAACACAAATAAGAGAGAACATAAGTCATCTACAGTTATACCATATAAAGAGGGGACACCTGAGACCCTATGTAGGATTCTAATTAAAGCAGGAATTAGGGTGGCATTTAAACCTACAAACTCACTCAGGGGCAAGCTCTGTGGGTGAAAGGACCCTGTCGGTTGACCCAATTAGACAAAATAACATAATTTACAAAATACCCTGAAATGACTGTGAGGTCAACTACATAGGTCAAACCAGTAGGTCAGGGTAGTCAGATTGTCAGAACATAAGAATTCAGCTAAGGTAAGAATGGTTGACCCCGAGAAGACAAGTAATTTAGAAAAAAGCTCAGCAATTGCAATGCATGCATTAACACACAACCACACAGTAGCATGGTGGGAGAGTTAGGGTTAAAATTCTAAAAAGTAATCTAGGTAGGTGGAGAGAGAGGTTGATTACTGAATCCTGACTAGTTCATCGAGTCTACACCCAACAGAACACATGCAATAGGAATGATTCATCACTCATACCCGAAATATGGAAAGTACTACTACCAATCAAATCAAGTGAAAAATAATGGAACTATGTAAATGAAGTTAGGAAGTCGTGTGATTACCTTGGTATGATTAGCAGTTATGATTGGAATATATGCAAGACTTCGCAGAAGGCACAACAGCATTTTGATCTCTCTATGAAATCAGTTAAGGGACTGATCATGAATACTAGGGAGAGGCACTTCTTATGAATACTGTGATGGTTTTGCATTTCCTTGTAAATTGGTCACTGTCGCCTTTCCTATGTAATTGATACTAAATCCGAGAAATGAGGTCGTGAGGTGCATTCCAAGTGTGTGTGTGTGCTTATTTAAGCCTAAGTTGGTGTGAATTGCAACTAAAAGGATGACCCACTAATTTGTGTAGTTGGATGTTTTGAGGAGAATCACAGTTGGATGGATCTTTAGGTCATAGCAGCATGAAATGTTGTCTCATTGAAGCCACAAACTTACGATGCAGATTTAGGCGAAAAGGTCGCCAACTCCAATAGTGTGCAAAGTGCCGCAGAAGACTTCAGTCTGACAACTTAGCTCTACCTCACAATCGGTTGTCTATTTTTACTAGATATACCCATGAGACGAAAACTCGTTGTAATTTGAGGCATTTTCTATACTCTGTTGATGTATGCAAATTATTTTCGTGTGAAGTCATACTTCATCTGTGATTTTTCTATGTAGATACTTCTAATCAAAAACGAACAAGAAAGTCGGTACGCTGGGCTGACATTCTTGTAACTTCATATGATTTGGTTCAAACACCGACCACTTCAGCAGTCACTACCGATGCAGGTGTTGGCAGTTCTTCACGTAAAAGGCGGCGCTGACATTTTGTGTATGCTGGTCGCGAATACAAACATCTTTGTTGTACCTCATGCATTCAGCATTTTTCAATATATTTGTGTCATACTCAAGTGTTGATTTTTGATTGTTATGCTGCTAAATGCGCAATTTTATGCAGCACTTGTTGTGATTCTTTTGCTAGGAGGTGGAATAATTAAGTATGTTGAATATTTCACTTAATTTGGGGACTTGCATCAGCTCAACTGAAGTGATCACCTAGGAAATCTCAGGATAGATTCAGAATGCATACCTGGTATTTACCAAGTCTCTAGATGTTTGTAGCGCCAATCTGTTTAAATGCCCTTTCCACAGTTATTCCAAGGTGCTTTGCAAATTAAATTATTTTGTGTAGTCAGATCAACTTACAGAGTCCTTCAACCTGCAGAGCTTCCCGTATCTGAGTGAGTTTGTGGAATTAAATGCCACCCTAATCCCCGCTTTCTTAGGAATCCTACATAGGCTGTCAGATGTCTCCTTCTAACATGGTACAACTTTAGATTCCTTATATTCTTTCTTATCTATGTTATCATTATTAGTTCGGAACACTCTCGGTGAATTTGTAAGTCAATAACTGAGACTCCCCAAATCCACTGCCAAGACGAATTGGTCTCAGTTGAGTCCCAGCTTCGCGTCACGCAAGTGCTGCATTGCCAGCTGTCTGTCCGTCGGATTCCGCCAACAGTCAGATCGTGATGACTATCAATTCGGTGGCAGCACCGAAGTGCCACAAGAAGCTCCTTATAGCTGGTTCTTGGAAAGCAACAGGAAGCGAAACCAAATGTAACGGTAGAAGGCGAGATACTTGGTAATGGTGTGTTTTTTAGGAAATTTATGTACACATATGGGGGGATTATGCACACCAGGTTATGTGAAAATCGTCATTTGGTGTTCAGTGTTGTGCCATTTCTTCCCCTTTTGTGTCGTTTTCGGTCTTCTGTTCGAGTCTTCCATGCACTGACTCCGTACTGGTTCATTTCCTCTCTTTTTGATGTCAAGTCTGTCTCTCGGCTATTTGATATTTTTGTGCAGATGGACGTTTCTTAATCTACTACCGATAAGGCTTGTCAGTAGCACACACCACACTACTTTTACTACTACTGTGGTGAGAGCTGGGTGTTAGTCAAAATTGGTCGACACTGATTTACGTCAATGTGTATGTTCCCGATATTGGTAGTGAGAAAAATGTGAACAAAGGCTTTCCGTAGGCGGATACAGTTAACATATAGATGATCTGAGATTCACAAAGAGATGCAAGGTTAGCTTTCTGTGAGAAGCAACCAATCAGAAGACTGTGTTTTTCTACTAACAATAATCTATCATAATGTACATGAAAATCTATAAATGTGTTGATTTCCATAATAAAGGATCTGTTGCCTGGCACTTGTGTTCTGTTTTTACACTAATACTACTACTACCAGTTGTTGGTAAAACTAGCTGAAATCACTTTAGATGTAATGGTTTTTCATTGAAACTTAAGCGAAAACCTGGTTTATGATAAATAGATAGATACAGTCGACGAGTGGAACGGAAGCTCCTTTGAACGGTCACTGAGAGACTGTGGATTTCTGTTTTACACCAGTCCACTTCTTAAAGTGAACTTTGTTCATCACACACATTAAGTTGCTACTAATAATAGAGTGGAAAACTGCATGGAAACAATTTGCGATGAAGCTAAATAGGAATAAATTACTTTTATACCATTATTCCTTTGGCTTCCAAGTAGAAACTAGAGGGCTCCAATAGAACATCTGCATTCCATCCTCTTCTACTCAGTTCTCACCAGCCGGAATCACGATTCCCCATAGTGTCACATCTCCTGTCCACACGATCTCCTCCATGTGACCATCAGACGTAAGCGCAGCTCGTCGTTTCCCATCCGTCGAATTCCACAACAACCATGGTGCGGCGTGCGATTTCATTCGATGGTCTACTCAGTGTGTGTTCGACCCATATCCTTTGGAGTATTCGCTGGTTGGGCAATAGGTTCTTGGTTGGTTCATTCCAAGAAATTTTTCTCGCTTATGCTTCACACTGGCCATGTGATCTTGCGTGAGGAGCTGGCGAAGACACTTATTGATAGATGTCTGCAGCTGGCTGGTGGAAGTGCTCTTCGTGATGCACACACCGAGTGTTTGACTGATATAGAAGGACTGACTGACCTAATATTGGCGTTAAAATCCTATGCTGTTGTGTATGCTGTGGAGTGTAGAAAATTTTCAAACTGATTTTAGAGTGATGGAGGTCTGTCTCGTCTTTTCGATTCTGGTTTTGACTTCCCCATTTGTGGTGTATGTCTGTAGTGGAGACGACGGGGACTAGATAAAGGAGGAAGTATTCCCGTTCTCATTTCCTGCGTTGATAGTGATGACTGCTTGTTGTTGGTGTTCTTGTTGTTGATTGTCGAGCGTCTTCATCACCTCCATGTTCGCTTGAGTTCCAGTCCCTGCTGACGTCCTTTCCTTCTAACTCGGTGGATTTTACCCGTCAGTCTTCGAGTCTGTGTGATATTGTAATAGACATAAGTCGTTCTCGTAGTCCATATCTTCTAGAGTCTTCTTATTGGTCCAACGTATTCCTGTCTTCTCACTCCTCAAGCACAGTCTGCCGTTGATGATAGCAGGCAGCCTTGCCTTACTTCTTCCTCTCTTCACCTCCAAGACTTCTGTGAGTTTACGGTTTGTTTATCATTTGACTGACACGTGGCATTTGGAGTACTTAGTGTTCATTTCACCCTTCTTCAATGTACATCAAGGTATCTTGTTGAAGTTTATCAACAGTGTTGTAGTTTTTCTCTCACTAGTCATCATATAGACACGTGCACACAGGTATGAAGTACGCTTCTAAAAACCTGAGCGGCTTTTGAGATTTAGTTTAGACATTCCATCAATATGGTCCATTAGAGGCTAGATAAGATTCCGTATTCCTTGACACAGTATCTCTCACACAGACAGACATACGATGGTTTAACTAGTCGAATGAAATGAATAAACTTGATTATCTCGAGAAGGAGAAATTTGATAATGTCTATCTACACCTTGAACAACTGAAAGTGGTGGGGCAGTATTCAAACAAGATAAAAGTTGCACTTTATTTACTGAAACTTGCAGTTTTCGCATTTTTGAACTGAAAAAGTCCGTGTTTACTGTGAGTGGCTCGCTGATGTACCTGACCTCAAGTGGACTTTTTTTCATTTTCTGTGGATGGAATAACAGTTTAGTCGAGGCTGCATATACATATGTTTTTAGCTAAGAGAGGATGCATTCATTGAGAAAGATAACTGAAAATCCAATTTTCAATAAGTGAAATTTGAATGTTGCTTTTATAATTTGAAAGTATGAATTTTAAGCCTGAGTCTTGTTGTGAACCTTATAATGTATGTCACTGTTATTTCCTTTCAATAGTGACATCAACGCAGAGAGAAAGTTGAACTTTTAGATGAAACAACCATTGAACAACGATAGTTGTCGTACCGCAGTTATTCGTCAATTTCTGATGAGGAGGGTGACTGGGATAAATGAGGATGATGATTAGGTGTGTTTCGTGCGGTTTCGGAAGTGTGTAAGCGGTTGTTTCTTCTCGCCTGCCCACACCGTGGAAGTTGATTTATTCTTGGGTTACACTTGAAACAGAAAGAGACTTAGTGATGCGTGACCGGAGAGGCCAGGGGACAGCTGCTTGAAGCTGGCCGGTCACGCACGACCTGTCTGAAGTGGCTTTTTGATGTGGTTCCGCATTAGTAGCTTACAAACGGCTACGGACCACCGTACTGTGAGTCGGGATGTTAAGTTTCTGAAGCCAACCTTTTCTAACCTCTTCTCCCCAGAATGTGTGTCGATGGCATAGTGGTTAGGACTCTCGCCGACTATTCACATGGTACGAGGTTCAATCCCCTGCCGACGCACACCTGATGTCTATGGTCAGCCTGCGAAATCTGGGCTACCGATATCCATGCTGAAAATTCTACACTTGTACCAAAAATACAGTGCGGAATCAAGCTGTAATAAAAAAAAAATAAATAAAAATGAAGGGAGACAAGTCTTCCTGTGATAATCACAGAGGGATTAGCTTGACTAATATAGTATCTAAAGTCCTAGGCTCAATAACATTGCGTAGACTAAGTGGTGCTCGGGAGGCACAAACACGAAAGAACCAGGCAGGCTTTAGACCAGGAAGAGGGTGTATTGATCATATATTCACCCTTCGATAGATTCTAGAACATGGTCATTCCTATCGGCGTCCAACAATCATTATATTTCTTGACCTGAATGCGGAATTCGATTCTGTCGACCGAGAGGTACTCTGGCTATGCTTGGCTGTGAAGGGAATTCCGAGAAAATATATTGCACTGATCAAGGCATTCACTCTACTTGAACTCATGCAGCCAGATGAAAGCTTACGGCGAGGTGTCAACTGAAGTGGTAACGACTAGCGGTGTCCGTCAGGGATGCCCACTATCCCCGTTTCTATTCAATTTCATCACAGATGTTTTAGAGGCTGGCGGTATTGACGCTCACGAGTTGTACGGAGTTTACTAACGCAAGATCTTATACCAACAACTTCTATAGTATTCGTTTCTCGTGGACCAAAGGCAAAGCAAAAGACAGTATTTGATAGTCCAAACTACGAGTTATATTTTGGGACCAAATCGTGGACTGAAGCGGAAGCTAAGCTGGCTAGTGATCCTGCACGAACGTGACACGATGGAGTACCAAATGGCGAGGATGCTTGACCGGAAGCTTTCAGCTAAACAAGTCGACTTAATCAATAAGGGTCAGCATCCAATGTTCAGTGATGATGGGTGTGGTCAATAATTTTGGGGAAGTATTTACCGCTACAGCTCACTCCCCCTAAGACAGAACCAACCGGAAGTAAAAACCTCGGTGGTTCCCTTAAGGGTGAAAAAAACTCTTCCGAGCGGCTTTGTGGAGTGCCTACTGGTCTGTCTGTACATCGCTTCCTTGATGTCGTTCGTTGGATCTCGTGCTTTGTTTGCTGCTTGTCCAGTGCCCGTTGGCCTGGAAAAGAAAAGAAGAATGCTAAGAACCTTGTTGAGGAAAATGTACCAAATCAGCTTTTTAAAAAAAATGATGTGCATCTACCATATTGTTAAATAATGCAAAGTTTAGAACATCGAAAGAATTATACATTTAATTTTTTTAGATGCATATAACATGCAATGTTATAGAAAATTTTTTTTGCTTGTGTTTAGTGATGCTATATTGAAAAAAATTGATGTGTCTGAAAAGAAAAACATAATTAATACCACAAACGAATGAGTTGGGTGAATCGCACCACTGAGTTATGTGATATAGGTGTGAAGATATTCTGGGAATCTTTCGTTTCTTCCAGAACGCGTTTTCTTAGAGGGCTCAACAGCAGGTTCAGTGGCTTTCACCGTGCTAGTAACTTCTTCGAGGACTAAAGGATATTCGATTGCTTGTGGATTATTGGGTACGCTCAGCTCTATGCTAATAGGATTTCCTTCCAAGTAAGCCGGTTTCCGACGGTCGATGCTGACGGTGTCTTCAGCTTTCAACTGTCTGTGTAGAAGTTCTACCATACCATTTGCTTGAGGATGGTAGTCTGTTGTTCGAAAACGCATGCAGCCTATGATTTTGGTCAGGGCGAAGAATAAGCCGCCTTTGAATTGCCGCCCGCGATCAGTTGTTATGGAAGATGGGCATCCAAAGTTAGCGATCCATCTTTCTACAAAGACCCGTGCGATTGTTTCAGCAGATACTTCCTTGATGGGTACTGCTTCCGGCCATCGTGTGAATCGATGGATGCAAGTTAAAATATAGGTATATCCAAGGGATTCAGGAAGGGGTCCAACTTAATCTATATGGACGTGTCCAAAACGAGCGTCAGGGAGAAGAAAGGTACCAAGTGGGCTTTTGGTGTGTCTTATTACCTTGCACTTTTGACAGGCTAAGTAAGCACGTGTGTGCCCATTCCCTTACTTCCTTATTAATGCCAGGCCAACAAAACCGACTAGTTACGAGCTTGACAGTAGTTCGAATACCTGGGTGTATAAGTCATGCAACGTATTGAAGATGTTACGGCAATAACTTTTAGGCACGATGGGGCAAGGAGTACTCGTGGAAATGTCGCATAGAATAGTATCTCGTCCCATACCTAAGGGTTTCTCAGCTAATTGTAGAGTTGTTTTCGACAACTCATATTGAAGCTCGGTATCTTCTTTTTGAAGACGAGCCAGTTTTACAAGGTCTATGCTGTCGATTTGGGTGAGGGAACAAACGCGCGACAAGGCATCTGCCACAGTGTTGTTTACTCCGGATACATGGTTAATATCCTATGTAAACTGTGAAACGTAATCCAGTTGTCGTGATTCCCTAGGTGAATACTTATCTGAAGGTGAGTTCAGAGAGTACGTCAGAGGTTTGTGATCAGTAAAATTATGAATTCACGACCCTCCACTGAATGTCGAAAATGACGTATAGCATAGTACACAGCCAGAAGTTCTCTGCCGAATGTGCTGTACTTCGTTTCAGCTAATTGAAGGCGCCGGGAGAAAAAGGCGAGTGCTTGCCACTCTTTGTTAACTAGCTGTTGTAGAACTGCGCCGATTGCAATGTTCGATGCATCAAGCGAGATACTCAACGGTGCCGTTGGATCCTGATACATCAGAAGTGTGGCATTCACAATAGCTTTTTGGACCTGGGTAAAAGCATTTCGAGGAGACGCGTCAAGTTCGATGAACTTGTTATTCCCTCGAAAAAGGTCTGTCAATGGCTGAATCAGAGAGGCACATTTGGGAATAAAGCGTCGATAATAACTTACCAATCCGTTAAAAGTGCGAAGACTTTTCACTGTCTGTGGCTCTGGAAAGTTCAGTATAGCCTCGACTTTAGTAACCAGTGGGCGAACGCCCTTGCAGTCAATAGTGTGAACCAGGAAGTCGAGTGAGTCAATGCCTATCTGACACTTTTGAATATTGATGCTAACACCATGTCGTCATATGCTTACAAACGGAAAGTCCAAGTGTCTAAGGTGAGTTTCCTTGTCTGGACTGGCAATGAGGCAGTCGTTTAAGTATGTGTATACAAAGTCAAAACCGCGAAATACTCAGTCTATGAAGCGTTGGAATGTTTGGGCTGCATTCCGGAAACCGAATGGCATACGTAGAAATTCAAAAAGCCCGAAAGGCGTAATGATAGCCGTCTTCGAAATATCTTCTGGTGACTTTGGGATTTGGTTATACGCTTTAACCAAGTCGATTTTAGAGAATATAGCTGCGCCAGATAATGTTGCCGCCAAGTCGTGTATGTTAGACAATGGATAGGAATCAGGGGTTGATTTGGCATTCACTCGCCGGTAATCACCAGTGGGTCGCCAACCGTTGCTATCCTTTTTCAGTATTCGATGGTCGAATGATGTCAAGGGTGAGTATATGGTCAAATTCATTTCTAGCCATTCTCAGTTTGTCAGGAGCAAGTCGTCGTGCTCTAGATGTCACGGGATGTCCTGAGGTTACGATGTGGTGCATAATATTGCTGATTATGCACGGTAGATCGTTGGATAGGCAGTTAAGTTCCGGATATTTATCAACAATCGGTTGAAAATTTGGATCAAGTATTGCTTCCATCTTAACGAGTGACAAGCTGGGGCCTATGTAGGTGATGTCTTTGATAGACAGACTAGTAGTATTGTCAATCAGTCGTTTTCGGCGGACGTCTACGAGTAATCATGATGATTAAGTAGGTCCGTGCCAATGATGGGCATTATGACGTCAGCGAGAAGGAAAATCTACTGAATAGGTTTGCGTAAACCTACGTTCAGATAGACGTATTTCCTACCGAAAGTTGTAATTGGTTTTCCATTTGCAGCCTGTAAGTTGAAATTAGGTTCCTTCTGTCGATCTGCTGCTGTAGCAGGAAAGACGCTGACTTCGGCGCCTGTGTCGACTAAATATCGAGTCTGGCTGATCACATCATGGATGTAAAGTAGGCGGCTAGTGCCACCGGCGACGGTTGCTGCTAACGCGTGCCGGTGGGATAGTTTCCCACGGATTTTGAGACATTGCCGAAATTACAAGGTTTACAGCAACATTTCGCTTCCTGGTCATAAGGGTTGTGATACCGGCACCAGTCAGGGTTTTTCAGAGAACGTGGCTTGGACTTAGATCGACCACGTGAGTTTCGGCGTTGAGGAGAGTTCTGAAGACGGTAGGAGGAATTGGAGGGCATGTTAGACCTAAGCATCTGCTGGATGGAGTTACATAACTCTATCACTCCAGTATCCTTACTCGAAGTCTCTTTGGCCACTAAGCATATTTCAGGAACTGACCGTTTAGTTATTTCTAGAATTTTATCTGCGGAAACAGCTAAGTCCTCTATATTAACACCCTGAAGTGTCACCAGCACAGTCTGTACTGACTGTGGCAGTTTGGAGAGTTCTCTGAAAAGTCCTTCATTGAACTGACTTTGACCAATAACCTCTCTCATTCTTGTTAGCATGCTCACGGCTGACTGATCCCCTAACTCGATGTTACGAAATAATTCGTCCAGACGTTGTCAATCCGTGAGAACGTTTCTCCTGAGGAGGGATGCTTTGAGCAACTCGTACGAGTTACTTACCTCTGGACTCGAAATCTGCACACTTGCTGAATTCCCGCGGCAGGGCGTGAATAACTGCGAGGAACTGTGAACGTTGATCGGTTATCCCATGCTCAAAAAAATCAGACTCAGCTATCTGAAACCACGTTTCAGCATTATCTGGCCAGTATGGTACGAGCTGAATGGTTCTGGCAGTTGAGCGAATACGAATAACCTTGGGGACTAGGATCACTCATGACGAAATGTACAACGATTACAATATAGTACAAGAACAAATACAAAATGGGACGAATTCACCAGGTTTATCTGCGTATTTATCGAAGATGAAGTTCTCGGTTGGGCTCACCAGTTTAGAGGCTGGCGGTATTGACGTTCGCGAGTTGTACGGAGTATACTAACGCGAGATCTTATACCAACAACTTCTATAGTATTCGTTTCTCGTGGACCAAAGGCAAAGCAAAAGACAGTATTTGATAGTCCAAACTACGAGTTATATTTTGGGACCAAATCGTGGACTGAAGCGGAAGCTAAGCTGGCTAGTGATCCTGCACGAACGTGACACGACGGAGTACCAAATGGCGAGGATGCTTGACCGGAAGCTTTCAGCTAAACAAGTCGACTTAATCAATAAGGGTCAGCATCCAATGTTCAGTGATGATGGGTGTGGTCAATAATTTTGGGGAATTATTTACCGTTACAATGTACTTAACAGTAACTGACTTCAGAAACTCAAGGATGGATTTGTTAGTAGACCAGGGTGTAATCTCGTTGACTTAGAATATGCAGATGATATAGTCCGTCTAGTAGAGGACGCTGACAAATTGCAGAGTCTTCGGAGCGCCTTGAGCTGCAATCTACGAATGTTTGGCATGCGATCCGCTTGCGCCAAATATACGATGATGTTACAGGACTGGAGTACACTGACTCCTAGTTTAGAAATAGAGAGTGAAGTAACCGCTTCTCTTATTTGGGAAGTACCATCAGCCAGCCCCAACAAGTTGACCTCTGACGAAATCTCATCGCGGATACAGAGGGCTAGTTTCGCATACGCCCGCCAGTTTACGCTGTCTCTGGCGCAGAGGTGATATCCGGCTCGCTATCCACTAAAGGGCGGGTGTATTGCTCAGCAGTCCACCTCGTCCTCCTTTATGGCTGTGAGACCTGGCCATTGAGAGTGGAAGACATGAAGAGATTAACTATCTTTGATCATAGTTGCCAGCGTTCTAACTCTCGTATCGGGAGGCGTAATAGGGTAGGCAATATTGAGGTCAGGCGTCGTGTGCTAGATAAGGAGGGGAAATCAATCGACGAGGTTGTGATGCAGTTACATGGATTGAGGTGGTCATTACATGTGCTACTCATGCATGCCTAGACATCGCCTCCCTCAATCGATGACCAATGTTAGCTGACATAGGCAGCATCAGGTTGGGAAAGTTAGCTAATGGTGGTCAAACCATGACATTGCTTCATCAGCCAACAAAATCCACAACAGTTAGTTAAAGCCATGTGTAGACTTCTTGGTTGCGGTCCTCGGGATAGTAAAAATCAATGAAGGCTGGAGACAATCGGTGTGGATATGGCACAAAATCGTCCTCAATGATGGCTGGCTGGCGCAGATGAATTCACTCTTTGTGATTTATCATGTGCAATAAAATTCTATCTATTCTTGTTGCCTCAAACTTCTGTTTGTTATCTGTGTGTGTGTGTGTTTCAAATCTCTGCTTAATCTTTTCTCTTGCTTTGTGTGCTGCATGGAAGGAGTGTGTGTGGCGACTGAAAGTGCTGCTGCACATCTGTACAAAGTAGTTCTACATTGAAACTGGTCAGTTAGACGTATGTTAAAAGTCATTAATGTTGCACATTAATTAATACACATTTTGATGAAACCATTAAGACTTTATTAGAAAATAAAATACATAGTGTTAGACCTTTTCTGTCTCCAGGTGTTTTTCGGCTTTTAAACTGTGATTGGATATGTCTAGAATTTTATGATGATACAGGGGAATCTGAAAAGTGGGGAATCACAAGGCTATGGGGTTTTATTTTATTTAATTAATTTTCGCATGACAAGTTGGCTGACTTGAAATCCACTGTATTGCGTACTTTCATTGGACACTTACTAGTGTCATGTGTCCACTAGTCCTTCGACAACTACAGACTGAATTCTATCAATCAAGTTTGCAATGTGGCCACTATGCTAGGTGGTTCGTCAATTAAAGTACCTAATACAGTCTAATAAGTAGTCAAATGCCAGCCCAGATGGCTCAGTAGTAACATCTCTGACTGCAGATTTCACAGGGAGACACGGATTTGAATCTCAGGAGGGATATGAGTTACTTAATTATTGCAGATATGCCTTGGTGACGAGTGCCAACTAGCACGAAACCTAGGTCAGGTAGGGCTTTTCCCCAATTGCTTTCAACCATCTAATATTAACAATCCAAAGTGGACCACAGGATGGCGAGCACCTAACATGAAGGTACATTGTAAACTTGACTGATAGAATTCAGTTTGCAGTAAACGAAGAACTACAAGCATGACACTAGTTAGTAGTGTTCAATCAAAGTAATCCATAAAAATCACCAGAAACAATTACTCCTGAAAGAAGATGTCCAACATCATCTATCGCAAAGCATAGCATAGAGACGGATTACAAGGTTGATTTCAAATAACGCTTTTAAACCAATGTATAAAACAAGTATGGGTCACATATTCAAATTCGTTGGAGCCTTATTCATAAAAAGACTTAGGCCTCTCCGATGTGTTCTAAAATTATTTGTCATTTCTCTGATCCTGCCTTGGTTTAATTCACTTAAAAATATGCTCACCCCCATTTTCTCCTACCTCATATTCTTACGTCGTATCTGTATTACGCACCCGTGACCTTGACCTGTAGACAACTTGACCTACACTATAGTTTTCTATAGTTTGGTTTGTAAGGGTTAGTTATGTTTTAAAGGGTTGATCACGGATTGATATCAGCAGCTGTCCAGTATTCCCTGGTTTTCAATGGTTCTCTAACTGATATCAATCCGTGATCAACTCTATACTATAGTCCTTTGTGCGTATAATAATAATAATAATTTTACTTTTATTCCAGAAACAGTACTAGTGGCACAGTGTGGAATTTTCAGCACATATCTACAATATTGCATCTAATTTCATTGCACATTTAAAAGGAGTATTACAAAATAAATAAATATATAAAAACAACAACAAAAATCAAAAAGAAACACAAAAATAACAAAAAAATGCAAATAAAAATACCAAGTAGAAAGGAAGCTAAACACCAATAATGAAAAATATTTCAGTATTTGATAGTGGAAGCTATGATATGTGTATGTGTGGTGAACAGTAACAGCTATAATCAAACAAGAAGTTATGAGATGTTCTTAAGAATGTTTATAGCCAAGGTGATCAGTTAATTTGATTGAACTACACTAAACAATCATAAAATAAACATTTCAGGGCTTTTTATTTTTATTGTCAGCACTAGTGCAGTGTTTGTTGTGGTAGTGTGAGTAATCATGCATAATACAAAAATTTTAGGATGGTGATAACGGCGTTCACAACCAAAATTGTCAGTTTTAGTATTGCCGAACAAAAAAGGAAAAAAAAACAATCACATAACTAATATTACATGAAGGTTATTGGCAGGATAATTTTGTGATACTCATAGCGCTAATATATTCGGGACCAGTAGATACACAAAAGAAGGAATAGAATAAAGAATAAAAAAGTAAGCCAATGACAATAATTCTAGGTAGCTAACTATTATTAAGAAGGTTGTTCATTATAGAGTACAAATAAGAGAGAATAAGGGAGAATTAAAAAGTCCAAAATTATGTTATTAACAACAAAGCAAGTCATAGGTTTCACGCTTAACATTGTCTCTGTCACCTAGAACACGGGCCAAATATGGTATCGTTGAGTTCCTATACTTGGTTTTACGAGCATATATTATTTTGTACTGATTTCTGGTTCTACCTGATGAGATGCAAGGAGAGAGTTGAGAATAGAGGGGGTGTTGAGGGTCGGAGAGTATGGTTTAGACCATTTCTCGCATGTATTCAGATGCTTATCTACTAATGTAGTGACGAGCCGACACCACTAGTCCTACTAACTACCTTCAACATCCTTCTCAGGATGGTATAGTCCTCTTTCAGTAACTCAGGAAAGACCAATGGGGAGCAGTAAAGTAGAATAGGTAAGATACGAGAGTTGACAAATTGTGAAAGCAGTGGTTGAGTGATTCCAGTTAGTCTGAGTTTCTTAATGTAGTAGGTTAGACAGAACACTTTCTTAGAAATCGTTTGGATATGAGATGACTAAGTAAGGTCGGAAGATAGAACTAATCCGAGGTATTTTGCATTAGACTTGGTTTCAATTTTAGTCCCCTCAATGCTACAGGCTTCATGAGTGCTTCCTAGTGTTTGTAGATCTCGTTTATGCCTAAAGGAGAAGTCAGTAGTCTGGCACTTTGAGGGATTCAGCATGAGGCCATTTAGTTTAGACCACTGACTGATGGCAGACAGGAAGGTTAACACTATTTCCAGAACCAGACTTTGGTACGGGGATGATTTTAATATCTTTCCACAGAGAAGGTACAACATTATTAGAAAAAGAAGTATTGAAAATGCTTGTAAGTGGGTTATTTAAAATATCAGCACATTTCTTTAGAACAATGGCAGGTATACCATCAGGGCCTAGACTCTGGGAAGGTTTAAGAGATTTTAAACATTTAAGAACATCAAAAGTATTGAAATTATGAAAGTCACTGGTCGTGTTATCAGTTAAATTGAAGGCAGAAGAGACATTTGGAGGGCGGATAAAAGATCTATTGAGAGTATTTACATCAATAGAAGAGGCAAAATTACTATACTTACCACTACCTATAATTTCTCTGAAAAGCTTCCATATGTTTTCTGAAGATTTACACGAGAGTATTGTTTGATCATAAATATTGTTTAGTCTCTTGATTTCAGATTTAATTTGGATGTTTATCTTCCTAAGACCAGATTTATTCTTTGTCTTGTACAGTTTCTCTTTTTCTCTTCGAAGCTTTTTGAGATGAGGGGAAGTGAAACAGTTCATTCTTTTGGAGAGTATCTGTTTTGGACAGCATATATCAAGGCAGAATTTAGGATAGTCAGTCAAATTGGAAATAGTATCATCCAGTGTGTGTTCGTTGAAAAGTTCCCAGTTTGTGTCATTTAGCATACATCTTCGTTTGAGTATATTTTCCTGTGAGTAACACCTTTGCTGTGTTTCCCTGGACAGATTTGAGAAGATATTAAAGTGAGATCTGCTGTATATCTTAGGTAATATCCGGATAATACAATGACCCGAGTTCATTATAGGAGCTCGTCTCCGTGATTCATATATTTCCTCATCATTATTAAACACTAGATCCAGAGTTTATCAAGTCGAGTAGGAAATTTAACAATATTGACATGACCTAATGATACAAGGAAAGAACAATCACAGCAATTGAAATCTCCAGTGACAACTGATAAAGAGTTTTCAAGATGTGTAACGGCGAATTCAGTGGATTCGTCAGCAAAATCCGATAGATCCGAGGCAGAACAGCCAGGAGTAACATAAATGTTTGAGATGAAGACGTATTTAAACTTGGATAAGTATTTCGGACGGCATTTAACTGTTATACAATCAATAAGGTCTTAGTTTTATTAGATGCATGAAAGTCATATGGTTTTAAATGTTTAGTGGATGAACTACTGTATTTTATACGATTCGTGATCACATTTTATTAAAATTAAGAATGAAAACATGATGTATTAGATGCAATATGTAGATGCACGAAAAGGTAGCCCAGGTGTCAAACAGGCCGCCAAAAAAAAAAAAATGCGTATGTGAACAGAATGTCTGAAATTTCTCACGAACTGGGATCAAGTGAAAAGTAGGCATATGTGAAAGTTCTATTTGTAAAAATCTCAGAGAAATTGAAATAAGTAACTGGTCCGAACTTCTTCAGGGAAACTAGTCGAAATTATTATGGGCCCCAGTTCGCCGAACGGAACGTTGGAATTACTTATTTCAACCCCGCTGAGATTTTACAAATGTAATTTCTACATGTCCGAAATTTGTTGCGCAAAAACACTACACACTTTCCAGGTAACTGACGAGTTCTTATTGTTTTGTCGAAGTCTCTCGAAAATATAAACTGAATTTATTGCCGTGGAGGATATATTCACCACCCACCCCCAGTAGCCAACCATCTTCCTGATCATGCAAATCTCCACTCAACTATTATTTCCCCACAGACACATTTGAGAATAGATGTTTGTGGAAACCTCCAAGGAGACACTAGAGACCTTGAGTTGTA